TCTTCGGTGATCTTATGTTTGCACGCTGTATCTTTGTGGCATGTGCGTCATTTCACTTCTGACCATGACCCATGGTCGCTTCATGACCTGATTCTTTTCCTCGACTGCAAAAAAGCAATCCCCCCCAGTTACTGAGTTACTGGATTCCGCACCCTCCCCGATACGCGAACGTCTCTCGCGCCATTGTCGTCGACAAAAGCAGGTAACACGTGGTACTTGAGTAGCCGTTTCCAGCAGCCTGCGGCTGCAATGTATGAACGAAACCTTTGGTTTCCTTGCAAGTGCCTCTTAGCTTGTCAACCGGTTCACGCGTTAAAACGTGTGAAAGGAAGGCAACATGTCGCCCACACACTTCATGCAGCACGTCCCCTATCCCACACTTTGGCCTGCTTGCTGTGCGCTCGAAGGCTGCGTGAACAAGTGAATAACATTGCTGGAAGGACAGCCAATGATCCTATGCTTGGAGTGTGCCTGCGTTTGGCGGAGCAAGTTCAAGATCTTGCTGGTATCTGTGGCCACGGCCACCCTGCCGTTTGCTATGTGGCCCCCCAAGGCTTGTAGGCCAAGCTTGAAGGTTCTCTCGAAAACTTGACCACTGGCAAACTTCATCTTTCGCCTGAATCCTTGGGCGTCTGGCACAAACAGCGTCTGAGAGCTTGTGAGTTGATCAAGCTTTTTGGTGAGCTCATCAACCCGTGACTGAGTGTGGAATATCTCGACGCAGCCTTGCGAAAAGAAACCCATATCTAGTTTGACCCCCACGCAATGGTCAAAACCATGGGCTGTGGGTCCGGAATCCGCGAAAAGCTATCCGAGAAGCCTAATGCCGGGGGATATGCCGATCCAGGCCATTTGAGTCCGATCTCAAGAATCAGCGCACCAAGTGACGCAGCCCCGGCCACCATGCACAAAATCAGGATGGAAAGTTTCCATCCTTTTGTGGCCATCAGGTAACAATGGTTCTGCGCCAAGCTGGACGCATGTGCGGGGGTCTCTGAGGAATACCGAGGAGGCTTGCCAGGGTCCCAATGTTCTGACTCGTATTTTGCGCGTAATTTTCTCGTATTTTCCCAAGATTTACCCGCATTTTCCCGTGACAAGATGCACCTTTCAACATCTGGCTTCTTGCTGAACAATTTGCTCTTTTGAGCTACGCAAGAGAAGACAAAGAGCGGCCAATTGAAAACTCCTCGGGAGTAGTGGGCATATTGTGGGGAGGGACTCAGAACCTTGAGAAATTCCCCTTGTGGCAAGGCAATGTGAGGGGCTAAAGATGCCCTTCCTTCAAAGGCCCCCACTTGGGCCCAGGTTTTTTGATACAAGAACGAAAATGCAGGGCTACTTTATTTCTAGCCAACAACAGGTGAGGTAAGAGGCTTAGAACGACCGCCCTAGCGGTAGCGAAAAAAAAGTTGCCCCATTCACAGGAAGCAGCGGCGGACTCACAACCAAAGATTATACACACATTCACGCCATAAGGCGATATGTGAAGCTTTTGGCACGCCGGACACCCGCAAGAAAACAAATTCGGCTTTATAAGACGAATGATCCTCACCCCCGGCAAAAATCACAGCGCGCATCTCCCACCACAATGGCTGAGGCAACCACCTGGGGACGGTGCCCCCTGTCAGTAGGAAATGCATGGACGGAACGGCCGCGACATGTTGCAAGACAGAGGGTCGCACCTGAGCAATGAAGTGCTCTCGACCCGGTCGAGGAGCGGGTATTGACTGCGCGGGACGCATGCCGTTGCACGGCGCGGCCACAGCTTGAAAAGCGGGAGGGGGCCAAACCTTTCGAGAAAAAAAAGGAGAGAAAACAAACAAACAAACAAAAAAAAAAAGGTCTGCACGGCCAGGGGCCCGGGCTGCAATGGTCCGCAGGGAGTGTGCCCAAGACCGCCCACTATGTTGCGGTGGCGGGCCGCGCTGCGCAAATTGTGCGCGCGAAACGGCGAATGCAGGCAGCTCAGCATTTGAGCAGCGTTTTGATCAGTTGCGTCTTTCCTGTGCGCGCGGATGGACGCGGAAGCTTCGCGGAAGCATTTCTTCGAGGAAGGGATTGCGGAAACTCATGTTTTGAGAAACCCCGGCTACGAACATGCAAGTCGAACCAGGTATGAGTCATCCCAACCATAAGCCCCAGAGATCCCCAGAGCTAAGTGCTGTGGCTTTACCACAGCCTTGAAGCCCTGAACGAAGCGACGAGAATGCTTTCAGGAGCATTCCCTTCTTGGGACCATTCATGCAAGTTATCCGAAAAGCGTATCCGGGCACACGACGTTCGCAAAAGCTCCGCGGAAGGTCCGCGGAAGCCCGAAACGCCACACTGGATCCATACCCGTACATTTGCTTCTGGATTAATCTTCTGACCGTTCCATCCCTACCAGCTCCAGCTTCAGTTCCTCTTCCTAGCCTTGTGCTGCAATGCGCACGAGCCCGCGCGAGTGATCGCGAAAACAAAAGTGAGTCAACAGCAATTCAGGTTTTCCCATAAGGGTAACTTCAAACCAGATAGTGCAGAAATTACGGCGTGTCTGAAATCCGGAAACCTTCGAGAATCCCATATGTTCCCCTTATAGTCTTTATCCATGCATAGCCCTTTAATTCGCTTGTTTAACCAAGCAAATGAAGTCAGCCGAAAAGAGCGTGCGCGGAAATCCTCGCGTAGTCTTCGAAGCCCTTTCGCGGAAGCAGATCCCAACAGTCAGCAGAAAAACCTTCGCCGAAGAAGGCGGATGCAAAAAAGATTACAAAAAGATACTCGCGGAAGGATCGCGGAAAGGCTTCGCGGAAGGGGTAGTTTCTGTCATGAAAGTGTATAGGAATAAAAACCATGGTTCATTTGGGTCCGTGTACAACAAAGTTGCCAGGCACAGCGTTATGGTTTTTTCATGGGCAGCAGCAAAACCTGCCATGGACGAGCAGGGCGGTATGCAGAAGGCATATTGCGCCCGAAGCGACGAACAGTAGAGGAGAAGCAGCTAAGCCACCTGCATGTCCCTCAGGCCGGGAAAAAGCTGCGGACAAAAAAAAAATAATGGCGGCCAGCAAAGTTGGACAAGTGGTTCTCACGAATGCCAGATGCATGAGGGGTACTCCCAACATAAAGAAACCTAGCTCCGCCGGAGTCACAAATCCAGACAGTCGAGCCACCCCCGCTTGCTCCCCCGCAACCAGCTTGCGACCTGTAGGTTGCCGTTTTGTGCATGCATTGCATGCCCGCACCCGTTTGTACCCTAACCTCACACTCGTTGTCGTTGATGCCACGGCAGTATGCGACCTCGCCAGCCGCAAGGCAATGCTGAGGGCTCCCTGGCGCACAGCCAAAGTTTCGGCCTTATTGCCTTACATGCGTTTGTGTCTGTCACTGCTCCTGCGCTCCTGGCGGATGGTATCCTGGATCCTGCGTCAACATCGAGTGAAATTGGAGAGTAGTTCCGTAGTTGCTCAGCTCATTATTCGTCGCGCTTGTACATTCAAACTTCCACTTGTGCAGGCTGTCGACGCACTCTTCTTCGTAGATGTTATGTCTGACCATAACGGCTATGGCACGGTGAAACTCCTGTATCACGGCTTGACAGTGCCGAGATCAAGTTGGCCATTTGTGCCATGCGAGCTCCAAACTAACGAGCAAGGCGTGGTGGGGACCCTTTGAGGGCCTGAGGCTGCAGGCCGCATTAACAATTTTTCTGGCAGGCGGTTTCGGTGCTGCGGCTAACGGTGCTTGTGGGCGTCTGATGCATGGTCAAGTCCACGGTCGTGCAGTCGCCAAAGCCAGCATCCATGTAAAAAAGGTGTTGCCCAGTGCGCCGGAGTGTAGGTTGGTGTTGTACTCCGACCCCAAAGCCGAAGCGTATTCTAGAGCATGCATTGCCGGGGGCACCCGAAACCAGGAAGACAGTGAGCTGGCATGGTTGAGTTTCCTTATCTTAGTAGCATTGCTTCTTTCATTCTTTTTCGGTACCCTTTGCCTGCATACCTGAGACCAACCGCGTTTACTGTGACGCGTAAGGAAAACATGAAAAAACAAGTGCACGGCATGTTTTTGAGCATTGCCTATGTCCAGGGCGTCGTCCGTACTATGTTCACGACACCGCCTGAATGGCACACCCCTACAGCTCCCATAGTGCCGTTCCTGTTTTTCCGTGGAGCCAGAAAATTAAAGTAGTTCCATAAATCTTTTCTGCAATCATCACTTCATGACATTTTGGCATGAGGTAACATTTTTGTTTTCTGCAACCCTGGCTTAACCTCTTGTTGGTCCAAATTGCAGCCCGAATGTTAATCCTTTTTCTGTATGACTCCAAGCGCCAGAGCGCCGAACAAATCACGATGGGTGTTTTATATATTTCTCCTGTTCCCCTTTCTCATAATGCAAGGGGTGTTGCTTAGGTTTGACTGGTGAGGTAGTAGCCCCCCATGCACCTATGCATTCATGTTTGTTCCCCGTCGATCCACATGATGTTTCTCCAGATTGGCAAGCTTGTCGCGAATTCTCGCGACACCATAAGGTTCATAAATTAGCTGGAAATTCGACGTCACAGTTGTCGCAGCATCTCGTGCTTTCAGCGTTGGGAAAGCGGTCAACTGCATGTTTTCCATGCTGCTGTAAAGCCCTCGTTGTGGTAGGCCAATCATAGCCAATCCAAGGCCAATGGCTCTTAATTCTGAACCCCGCGAACAAGCAGACACAGGATCAATGTCATATGCCTGAGCATGACCACATTCAAGCAGCATTGTTTTTTCAGCGCCAAATTCGATATCGCGAAGGTGAAGAATCATTATGCAGTGGTGTGGCCCTGGGGTTCATGGTAATTTCGCTTTGTGTGTGCCATGGCAATTGATGCGAAATGGGCTTTTCTTCTTACCGGTGCGGTGTGGTTCCGGTTCGCACGATCCCCAGCAAACCACATCATATCGAGTTTGTTTGAACGACAAATTGCTCATCACCTTTCCTTTGCAGTTCTGCTGGTTCAATAACGGGTTCAGATCCTTGCAATGTTGAGCACCATGTGGCGCGCACCGATTGGCATGGCCGTGCTGGCCGTCTCCACGGTCGCTTTGCCTATCCCGGATGTCGAAATTGCGACGGGAGCTGCTTGGACACAAACGGGTTTTGTCATGCATTGAGTTGAAAGCTTGACGTCGGCCATTCGTTGGTTTGGTCAGGTTCACATGCCAATGTTGGCTTTTGGCAGCTATCGTGGATCGCTCACGACTTGCAGCGTGCAAGACGGCATCAAACAGTGGCTTCAACTGGGGGGGTGTTGCGCCCAGAGAACACCGACTGCTTGTTTCAGGGGTGGTTTTGGTATGTTTTGGTTGTGCACTTCGTCACAGGTGCCGTGTGTGAGAGGTGCATTGGATGCAGGTTGTTCGACAACCACCTGCTGAGGCGCCACCTCGATACCGCACACGATTATGGCACCGAACCAGATGTCGGCGCTGCCATCAAAGCGTCCGGCGTGAAACGAGAGGTTGCGTGGGTTGCCACTTCCGTGTTCTGTTCAGCGACGTGCTTGCATGCTTACAGCATATGTGCGTAGTGAAGCAGTTATGATTTTTTCCATTAGCGCACATGGGGACTTTACAGGAGATTTTCCTCACCACCAAGATCCCCGGCCCCATTGGCCGGCAAGCAGTGAAGGACATGGTGATGAATCAGACGCTTCCGAAGAGCCTTGGCACCGAAAGCAAAGGAAATGTGATGATGCGGATTTTTCAATCATAGGAGGCGCCGCCTTTTTCAGGTTGGGGGTTGACTATGTGGATCTGCTTCTTATTCACTTTCCATGTGTTGCTCCTTGGCTGACATTGGCTAGCATGAGCAAAGAAACTCGAATTTGGTACGCGGTTGACTGCAGCTACTCGTGCTGGGTCCACTTGTGCCCAAGGACCAGACAGACTTCCCCAACAAATGCGGTGAGAAAGGCAAACAAGCGCGCATTGACACGTGGCAGGGTCTCAGCGATCTACGATCTATGGGCCGGATCCGAGCGAGCAGCCCCCAGCGTTGGTTGTCAGCGACGCATTAGGGTGGCCAATGAAAATCGTGTTTCAGCTGCCATGAGGATTGGTGTGAGCAATTACAACGCAGAACAGGTTGCGGAGGTGGTTGCAGAGTTCAAAGAGGCCCCGGCAGTGAACCAGGCAGGGCGTTTACAAATGACTATGAGTTTGAGTCTGACAATGTTTGAAGTATCGAGGTCCAATGGCATTTGGCCGACCACAACGAGACCCTCCGAGCATCCATGCGAAAAGTTGGCACAACTCTTGAGGCTGCGTCTTCTGGGTTGCTGCCCAGGGCTTGCTGCTGTACAAATTCCATGCCTGGGTGGGCAAGCATGGATAGTCCCTTTCCTTTCATGGGTTCCGTTGGCTACACATATTCTATGTTTGTTGTTGTCAAGTTTTGCAGTACAAGGGTTCCAGTCAAGTATGGCAAATGGTGGAATCATGGCAGGCCTGGGCATCTCTTGCCGGACCCACCGCATTTGGTGTGGCTTAGCTAAATGCCGGTACACGGTTCAATGTCCTTCTTGAAAGCATGGCACAGGCACCAGCAATCTCTCTGGGGGATGCACGATTGAAAGCCCTCGCGCAGCGCTACAACATGACCACTGCCCAGGCCGTTTGTTACTCCTACGGTCACTACTCGTGTTACTATTGCTACGCACCGTTTCTGCTTGCCGCTAAGTGCAAGATGCCCTTGTCAGGTCGAGTTGCGCTGGGAAACTCAGAAGGGTGTGGTGCCTGTCACTGCGACTTGTTCTAAGGATTCGGGTGCTGCATGTTGCTTGCCAGGATCAGCGCCCACCATTATGCATGAAGTTGTGGAGTTTTGATTGGTTTTGCTGGGTTTCGATGCCAGCCTTTCTGTTGCCTCATAACATGGGAAATCATGCAGGAGCATGCGCTGGGCGACTTGACCTCTTTCAATTTCTCGCTGTCGCAGGAGGACTCGAATCGTCAAGCATGATGTTGCAAGCCTGGCTGCACCACTTATGAGTAGGCAAGATCGTGAGGACGTCGCATATCTGGATGCATTGCTGCCGGCAGACACGCACGCTATGTTTGTGTAAATAGTGTCCATAGGATGTCCGATCTCCTGTGCAAAGCTGGGCACATTTGGAGACCCCATCCATCCCATTTCCAGCATATCTGTACCTATTTCAGGTACAGTAGCTGCCCATCCCTGATGTTTGTTCAGAGGTGTGTCTGATCCAGTTGCAAAAAGGTGTGATCACTTCGCAGCTGTGCAGTTCAGCTTCTGTTGTTCCAGTTCTGGCACACCCACTGGTATGTCACAGGCAGCGGGCGGCAATGTTGAAGTTTGCCCTGGTGAGGGCCCGCGGTATGGACGCGGGAAGGGTATGGCGATCATGGAGAAAAAAGAATTCTCAGTGGGTTGTGAGATTTGGCGAGGAGATCACAAGTGCAATCATGATGGAACTCACCGAGCTGTCGCCTCAGCAAAGGGTGCCACGCCCATCCCCGTCATGTCGCTTGTTGTGTGGCAAGGTCTGTGCCAAATTGTTGGACACGGAGGGCAAGCCACTTGTATGGGGAAGAGCACTCAGTGTTTTGAGAAGGGTCGTGTGCAGGCCAGAAGCCATCAATTGACCCTCCAGCGAGTCTTCCCGCTTAGGCCAAGGTGACTTCTGGGAAATCACGCACCAAAAGCCATACCAGTGGGACAGCGCCTGTGTCTCGCTTACACTCCAGTATGGATCGGACGAGTTTGTCATGTATGACCCTCTGGAGCTTCTGGCTTGAGCATGAAAGTCATATTTCATGCATGAGGCCTGAAATAACAAGCAGGTAAGTTCCAAAGCCTGGGTTCGGCTAATCCTAAGATCATGGATAAGCTAAGCTCTATTTCAGGGCGCATGAGTGAGCACATTGCATTGCCCACTTTTTTTCTTATATTTTTTTTTTTTTTTTTATCACGGTGCCGTGATTGGCACCTCGTGATATTATGAGCCTTCGCAATGATCAGCATTGCGCAAGCAACTCCTGACCTTTGGAGCTTGCACGCTGGAGATGGGTGGACAACAAAGAAGCCCAGGACTCTGTTTTGAAAGTTGCCCAGATGCACGGTAGCTCCAGTCGCAGTGGCCCTGGCGGCGGTTTTGGAGGGCAACCAATGAGGTTGTAGGGCCAGAATGTGAATGGTAGGCCCCTAGAGTGGAGAATCAAATGGAAAAGACAATGGAGAATGAACTATAGGCTGGGATTATATAGTAGTTTCCATTTCCATTATCCCCAATATACCCCCAATATAATGGAGAATCAAATGGAAATTTTTGAATTGAACGCAGCTCGAGCGTGCTCTGAGCATAGCGGGCGCTTCTGACCCTTCACTCCGGGTGAAACAGCGAGTGTTGGTCAGCCATGTGTCCGTAGCCCGAGGAAAACTAAGACGCACTAGGGGAGAACCAGAAAGCCAAAAGGATAAGCTAAACAAGACAAAACGTCGGGCTGCCACACTAGGAGTTTGCTATTGGCATTCTACGCACTTGGCTCGGGTGCTCCGTCGCTGGGGTTCCAGTCGCAAGCTAGAGGCGCTGTGGACCTCCCCCGAGCCTAGTATCTGCACGCTACTCAGAGTGTTTGAGGCTTCCTGGCATGTGGCAGAGAGAGCGCAAAACACGGCTGTTCTGCACTGCGGCAGAGGCCCTAGGAGGCCCCTTTTTGGCGTAGCTGCAGGGCCATGCATCAAAAAGAGGTCAGACTCGGTCGCCTTTGACGACCCTCAAACCTGGCAGGTATGCGGCCGAGGTACTGCTAACGGGGCATCCCTCACGTGTCTGGCACAAAGTCTGTGAGGAGGTCAGCAGTGCTGGGCCAGGGGCAGTGCGGCTTGCCCGTCCCGAAGTCGATCAGCCGTGGCGGGACCATCTGCTCTCCCAGTCTGAGTCCAGCTCTGGCGGTTGCCATAGGAGCTCCACGACCCCCAGTCACTCCAGCTCCACGTCTCCCTTGTATTTGTAGGCGGGTAAGGGGGCTCGGTTGGCCTCATTGACGAAGATGCCTGGCTTGGTGTAGGGGCCCCTGACGACTCAGGCCGAGGAGCTCGAGAGGGAGGCTGCGATGCTGCGTGCGCTGACGTTTTGTCGCCACCTGGGCCAGCTCTGGATGTTGCTGGAGATAGGTCGGTGAGTCACCGCAGTTGTGCTTGACGTGCACGTGCTTGCCGTCCTGTGCGACGACCAGTCTGGCCTGTAGCTCCATTTTGCGAGCCGTGTAGTCGTAGACGGCCTTGATGGAGGTGGCGATGAGCATAAAGCGGTTGGGGTCCTGCACTATTTCGCTGAGCGGCGGGTGATCCCCCATCTTGCCAAACAGAGCGGAGAGAGCACCCTGAAGTTTGGAGCCGCGATCCAAGACGGTGTACGTTTCATCCTTGCCTGTGGCAACTGCAACCGGGCCGTTGTCCCCTGCCACGAGCTTCGCCGACCCCCCTCTCGGTCCTAGCCAACTTGATGCTCTCGAACAGGGGAGGGGGCACAAGGATCACCTTCATCCTTTTGGCCCAAAGCGGTAGCAGTTCGTCGTACTCAAGTCCTCCAAGCAGCATCTGCTGCGTCAGAACATGCATCCGCAGAGGACGCGAAGCCACTCCGAACTGGAGCTCGTAAGATTTGAGCGCGGCAACCAGGCCTGCCTCAGAGAGGGGGGTGGAGCTGGCGGAGAAGGTTCTTCCTGAACTGGTGGCTGATCCGGCTTGGGAGGCTGGTAGTTGCGCAGAGTCCGGAATGCCTGTGTCATGGGTGCCAGTGTCCTCTGCCGCGGTCTGTGCCAGGCTAGCCGGGAGCTGTGGCCTGGGCGGGGGGGCTTTGGGTCCTGTGCCCTCCACTATGCCCGATGCCTGACCTGGTCGCTTGGTTGAGGTACTTGGGAGTTTCGCAGCACCTGCCGATGTGGCGACCAGGTGGCCAGGGGGCCGACGGCTGGGCTGGGCCGGCCCCTGGGTTGGCACCGCGGAGGCCGTCGCCGCAGAAGAGAGCTGATCCATCAAGAAGGAATTCGGCGTATGATACGAGCCACGGCGAAAGTGGTTGACCACCCCAACGCTGGTAGGAAAGGTAACATTCCTGCGAGACTTCTTGTTGAGGCAGTGTCTGCAACTGAGATAGCCAGGCTGGTCCTCAGAGAGGCAAAGCCCCTTGGGAATAAGATCAAGGATGTCATTGCCATTCAAGTCCTGATAGTACTTTGTCTGCGAAAGGGCTTCCATGATCTTCTCGTAGAGGTTGCCCGCGATGGCCTCGTCCGCCCACATCTGCAATTCCGCATTTGTGGGGGCATCGCCCCCCGAAGTCGAGCTCGTGGGAGAAGCCGCCTGACTTCTTGCCCAGGCTGCATCTGACGCGGCGTCAGGCGTGGCGCGAAGCATCTGAGCCTCATTTCTCGCCTTGGCCGCCAGGTCACCAGCAAAGCCTCGCTTCCAGTTCCAGCATCGAGTGAACATGGCGATCTTGTTGAGGCGCGTGATCATATAGTGGCCATCCGTGGGAATGTCGGAGTGAGCCTGGAGGTCCTTGTTGTGGCGCTCCCGAAGCAAATAGATCGGACCAAATCTGCTGGAAGTGTTCCATCCGTGCTGCGGGGGATGACCCAGGTTCTCGCGGAGGGCACCGTATAGAAACTTGCAGAAGATGAGGTATAGTCGCTCGCCGCCGCCCCATCGAGGATGGCCGGGCTGTAGAATTGAATGATGGCCTCCAGGAGCAGTGGATGGCGAGGTCGGCAGTATGATCGCCGCGGTTGCCTATGGCCATGACCATGTAGTCCTTCGGAAGTTGCCCGGGCGGGGACGGGCAGTGCCCCAGCGCTGAATGCGCGTAAGACTGGGCAGTGCCCCACCCCTCCGCCAAGCAGGACCTTAGCTCATCAAACTGCATCCTCAGCAAGCGCTTGATGTCAAGATAGAGGCCCCCATGCTCGTACAGGTACACGTACCGAAAAAGATCAGCGCGATGGGCTGGACTCTGCAAGACGTTGTACAGGTCCTTGCTGTACTTGCCGGCGTGGTCCAGGAGGGTTTGCCTGATGTCCTCATCGTCGCAGAAGGTTCGAGTCATCTCCGGCATGTACTTGCGGCACATCTGAGACGGCTCCGGCTTCTAGTCGTGCATATAGGTCTGCATCACACCCTGCGGGAAAGGTTGGTCTTCCAGGGCTTCTCCGAAAGAGTAGCGAAGGGACCACATTGAGCGCGAAGCTCGCAGAGCAGCCGCCAGCAGGTCACCGACCGTTTCCGCAAGACACAGCTCTCTCGTCGCCAGCATCTCCCGGTGAACGTTGGGCAGCTTGACATTCCAGGAACAGACTAGTAGGACTGGAAAGGCCTCAGGCCTCGAAGAAACCATAGCCCTGAGTGCCATGACGGTGAGGGCCCGATCGCTGCTTCCGCGCTGGCCGTGTGGAAGTGCAGCTTATCCTTGTTGCCATATAGCCTGGTGGGAAAGCGGCCCGAGCGTCATGATACGTTGATCGTATGCTGCCCTTGCGCCCCCTATCCAGTCGTAGTGGACCTGTCGATCCTCCGGTATGGAGTCCTCAATGGGGATCAAGGCGACATTCACCTTCTTGTGGAGGTTGTCTTTGAGCATGCCAATCACTGCCGGATTGGAGTAGGAACTCCGCCGGGACAGTGTCCGCAGATGTGGAGGCATTGCCACGAAAGTAGCTCCAGGATGGAGGGCGTGATGCTCCCTGAGCGCTTGTAGTTCTGAGTGAGGGCCGCTCCTGGGCAAATCAGACTGGTCTCCAGTCAACATGTACTGGAAGGTACTATCCGTGAGCGTCAGAAACTCCAGGTCCTGAAGAGTGTCCCCCCAGTCCGCCGAGTCTTCTGGGACAGGAATCATGGCGGCAGGCAGCTCTTGCTGAGAGAGCGGCGGAAAAACTTTCGAGCCCGGTCTGCTCTCGACTCATGTCGGCTTGCGGTGAGCTGACAGGAACCTACTGCGACGCTCAGGGCATTTGCAAAAGTCCGACTCAAAACCGCGGCTGCAGGCTGTGCGGGCAAACTTTGTTTTGAAAACGCAGGCTACTCCGGGTGTCTACTGCCAGCTGCCATAGGCTGCCTCATTGCCCTACAAACACAAAACTAGGCACGCAGCCAGTGGCCTTCGCTGAGTAGCCAGTGGCTCAGTCAGGGAGTGGTCAGAAAGCGATGCGAGACCAGCCGACGCCACTCGACAATCAGTATGTCCCGAAAGTGCATGTAGATTCTGGCTCCGTCCGGCCAATGTTCGTACCTCGTATGGCCGTTGGCCGGGATGTGCGGCTGCAGCGAGCCAAGTTCGAGCATCATGGGGTTGATGGTCGCGGCGAGAGCCTTTGAGGTAGGCGCCAGCACAGCATAGATATCCGCAGGGAAAACATTGGTGAAGATGATGAAGCCGCGATCGACAGTGCCAATCTCGCCGCCCGCATCCTCCAGGTACGGACGTAGGCGCCTGACCTTATCGCAGGCAGCGAGGAGAGTGCCGGGAGAGGGCATAGGATCATCGTGGTCCAAGAAGAAAGCAAGGCCAGTGGGAACCGCCAAGAAGCCGAGCACGGCCCGGATCGTTTTGTCATCAAGGCACAGGAGCATGACGGGCGCTGGATTGCAAGTTAGACTGCTGCCTACCACCTATTCAGTCAGCTGGCTAAGCCCTAGGAACACCGGTTCTAGGAATGCCAAAGCCGCTAGTGTCGTGAAGCGGGCAAGCCAGACGCTAAAACTCGCAGGGTGGACCTGTGCTCGTTGCAGCAGCCCGCCACAAAGTCCGGCCTGGGACGGGATTTTAAAGGCAAATCTAACCAGCAGTGGGCACTGGCTAGTTGAATCTATTCTTCAACAAACCTACCTAAACAGAATAGGTCGGCGCTATTTTCACCACACTGCTGGTAGTCAGGGACTGACCTGTTGCCAGGGGCTCCGCTTTGCTTCGCTTTACAAGCAATAAAGTTGGAATCTCCATTGGAGTAACGGCGCCACCAGCCGCGGTCCCCCTAAAGAAGAAAGCCCATGCGGCTCAGAACTGCGCAATCGCGGACAGCGAGCATGTTCGAGTCCCGGATAGTGTAGGCAGCCGCAACGACGCGGTCGCCGCTCCACGGCAAAGTGGAGTGCAGCGCGTGAGGGTCGAATACCTGTGGGGTCGGCGCGCCGTCTTGCAAAAGAGGCAGCACGTGGCCCCTATGGCCAGCCATGCTGGATGCCCCACCTTCACGCTGAACCCATAGCTCTCCACCTTCAAAGTAGGTGAGAGGAAAAACCAGGTTAGAGCTGCCATGCAAATTATGCTGGTCTCGGTGTGGCCTGGAAGAAACATTCTGCAGGACGGCAAAGGACGAGAATTTGTGACCAGGAGCCACACTCCGAATCAACGAAGCCAGCGCCAGCACAACCAACTCATGTCGGAGGGTGTTGTTCTGGGCCATGTACATACGCCCCTGCGCCAAAGACCAGAGGCGGCAGGGCAACACCGTACACCCCAGCCTGGTGAATCGGCCTGGGCTTGGTGGGGAGAGTCTGTATGACTGAGCACAGGTCGGAGGCCAAAACATGTCCAAAGGACATGGCTTTCTTGAGGTCCGCCTCCTGCCTTGACGCTGGCTGAAAACAGCCAAGATCGATGTCGCAGGGCAAGTCCAGGTTATAGGCTAGCTGGCAGCGATCCAACGGACCTGGGCCATCAGATGCAGCATCGCCCTGCGCAGTGCTGATGGGAACTCCTAACGTTGAGGAGAGGCTGTCCAGCTCGCTTTCCGAGTCCTCCATCGCCGGTGTGGACCACGTGGGTGAGTCCAAGACTGCCGCGCGCGCATGGGCCAGGCCATATATGGACGGGGCCTCCAACTCCCAGAGTTCGGCCATCTCTTCCGGGCTGAGCATGTTCAAGAAACGGGGCAAAAATCCGACAAAATCCAAGAGCCCCGAGCAGAACTTCGAGAACAACTAAGGACTGGCCTGCGCTGAGCAAAGTCAGCAAAAGCATCACGCTGAACTGTTTTTGCGCGCAAGGCTGGCGAGCTAAAAAAGGTGGAGGGGCGATCTGCGGCTGTGGCCAGCTGAAAAACGCTTCTACTTCTAGCGGCGCAGCTGGCCAGCAGTGCTGGGCCCCCTCGAAAGCAGTGCCCGAGGCCCTATGGTCTCAGCAGTGCAAGGAGTCTGGCAGTGCCTCACCCGGTCTCAGGCGCTGGACTCGCGGATGGTGTCCAGCAGAGAGAGGTGGCGATGGCTTCGCAGAGCTCATCCCGGGTGAGGCGCATCTGACGTCCCCGCAGACGCCGTTGATGGAGGGTCCCTCCAGACTCCCTGCAGCGTCTCCCGCGGTGGCTGAGGAGTAACAGCCCTCAAGTAGCCGTCGTCATTGCCATAGGTCCGAAAGGGATGCACTTCCTCAAAGATGTGCCGATAGGTGCTGCTCTTGGTTCTGAGCTTTCCAACTAGGAAGAAGCGCGCCGAAATGGCTGAGCGCTCCCACGTGCCCACATCATCCTCGCCATCCGCCTCGGGGGCAAACTCGCCATCTCTGTTGCCGAATCGGTCGGAGTCCTTGGTGCAGATGGCCGTCGTGTCCACAACATCGCCCTGGCGCTCCCAAAGCCAAGCGTTGACAACCACCACACAGTCCTGAGAGGAATTGCGCCAGGAGCTGCCAGGCAAAATGGACTTAGGCCTGGGTGGGAGGGGGTGCGCGCTGCGCTCCAGCCAATACTCGATCTCCTTGCGGATATGCCTGGGAGCGCGAGCGAGGTCTCCAAGCTGACGGCGCTTCGAAGGAAGTTTTTGAAGAGATTTGGCAAAGCGGTAGAAGTCGCCAGCCGGAGTGCGCATCGGTGGGCGAAGTTGTTCATGCGGAGGGGTAAACATGGCTCCGCCCTTGCCTGGGACACCGAAGCCGAGCTCAAGCGGATACACAGACTCCCCCGTGCAAGACGCGAGGTCGATGAGGACAAAACCTGGAGGCCAGGGCCTGAGCATTATGTTGTCCAGGTGCACATCGGCATGGACGATGTTATTCGCGTGGAGCACCCGCAAGGCAGCACTCACATCCCCAAACAGCTTGGGCAGGTGCTCCTGTGTCAGAAGCTCGAAAGGAAGTCGGCGAAAGCGAGGCGTGAGGCACCTGTCCCAAGTTGCGGCGTAGATCTGCGGGAAGAAGTGGAAGCGAGGAAGTCGACATAGTCGGGCGGCCTCCTTGGCCAGGGAGGGCTCATGGCCCTCTGCCATTGCTTTGATAACGTAGGCCGGGTGAGGACTTAGCCGCACTTCCGCTTCTGCTCCCCTGCCAACACGCATGCCTCGATGTGAGCTATGTATAAGGCCGCGGCAGTCATTGTCATTGAGGTCCATAACAGGTTGAAAGGCAGGAGTGTCATCCAGGGAATTGACTAGCGACCGCTCATCCTCTTCCGTGGTGGGGGCCCCACGTATGGTCAGGTTGGGGCCGTGGATGTCGGTGAGCATGGCAGTGCCAGTGCTACGGCAGTGCCCTAAGTGCTGCTGGATAGCTCTGAGATAGAGGCAGCAGCAAGCACAAACACAGAAATTGCCAGTGCGTGCTTACCTAGCGCGTCAGGCCCTCCTGCTCTGCCAATGCTCACAAACATGCTCAAACCGGCCTGTAGAGCTATTTCCTGAGCTGCGTGCACGGGTCAGATGGGCTTCCCTGTCCTTGGACTAACCTACCCCCTACGACTTCCTACGCTTTTTCGGCTCAGGCGGGGTAGGAGGCAAAGCCCTGCCGGACGGCAGGACGGCAGCTGGTGTTCTCTTGTCGTCGGCCTCAGAAGGACTCGTGCGGGCCCCCAAACTTGGCGCCGGCGGTTCCTGGTTGCTGGCCGCCGCCTTCTCCTGCTGCGCCGACTTGCCAATGACAAGGGAGCAGTAGTAGTGCACCGACTCACGCGTCAGGCCCGGCATGACGTAAGAAACCCTGAATGTATGTTCGAGCCGCAAGTAGGCTTCGGTGCGGCTGTGTGCGACGCACCCGGTGAAGCCGCAGCCCCTGCTCCGAGACAAAAGACCTGTCGCAGTCCTGGCAGGAAATGACTGGCGTGCCCTCTGCCGCCTCGGTCTCAGGGAGGTGCTTGAACTGGCGCAGATTAGCCAACTGCTCCTGAGATTGCCGAATAGCCTCGCTGGTGCTTGTTATGCATGGTGAGAGGACTTGTTGCGAGTTGAGGTGGCAAAGGCGGTTGGATTGGAGTCTCTCAAGCTTAGCGACAGGGTCCTCTATAGAGTACAGGTCATAGAGCTCACCAGTCGTCGTGTGGGGTCACGTGGGCCGGTTTGTTTAAAAGTGATCGGATTTTAAATGCGTACCAGGCCTTGAGGGATTTTGCGGACTCCAGCGAGAGGCCCACCTCAGCCAGCCCAAACGCTAGCGTGGGCCACACTACAGATTGCCAAACACGAAGTCGGGACATCGTACTCGCCACCCTCCTATTATACACAAACTTCCTCACCTGATGTAGTTTCTGCTTGGCTTCGCTGATGCGAAAAGTGAGAGTCTGCATCTCGAAGGGCCCGTAGCTGGCTTTGATGCCCAGAAACTTGATGGTCGGGACCCATCTCAAGGCAGGAAAATGCTTGGTCTTGCCGATACGCCAGAGTTTGATGCGCTCCCCCGCCTCGTTCCTGGTCCAGGCAGTGTACTGCTTCGTGACTGATGCCGCCTGCCTACCCGCGAACTTGGCTAGGATAAAGCATTTGCTCTGATTACAAACCAGCTTATGGTCCTTAAGGCTTTCCACGACGGCTCGTATTAGCGCGTGACAGGCCTCTACATCTACTACGGAGCGTATGGTTCTGTGCACGGTGAGATCGTCTGCGTAGCCCGTCAGAAAGGCACAAACCCTGTCCTCACCAAAAACCTCTATGAGCTCCTTGATTAGCTTACCCGTTAGGAGGCTGAAAAGGCTCGGGGCCAGTTTGCAGCCCTGCTTGATGCCCGTGGTGGTCTCAACCTCAGTGACCTCACCCTGAGCCGCAAGCTTGTAAGCGGAGCGGTGGTGTAGGGCATGCACTAGCGATACCAGGGCAGGGTCGTCAGTTAAAGCAGGGAGTGTAGCTATGATCTCCTGTCGCGAGACTGTGTCACAGGCTTGAGAGAGGTCAAGAGCGAACGTGAGGCCCCCGACGAGATCAGGACGCAGTGCGCCTTCCCGGAGCTCCTGTCTTCCCGGGGAGGCAGTGCCACAAAGCTGTCGCACCTCCCGAAGATGACGTATCAGTCTAGCATGCGCGTCCGACAAGCCTCTTCCGGGAAGATAGGCAAACTGCGGAACCTCCCTCATGTAGCTTTGAAGCCCCGGAGAGAGCAGCTCCCGCGCCGCTCCCGCGACACCCTTAGCATCTGGTCTTAGTATGCCAAGAGGTCTTAAATTAGACGGCTTGTCTGCAGGCTTGCCTGGTTTGGGGATTAGACAGAGGTCTGCGTCCAGAAGCCCGGAGGGAAGCCGCTCTTCGCCTACTGTGGCCAAAAAAGCGCTTATAGAGGGGCTAACTTCATTAGCGCAAAGCTTCCAAGCCGCTGCCGGCGCTGAGCCCTTCGGAACCGCCTTATGCGGCTTGATGGACCTTATGTGCTTAGCCAGGAGCTGCGGATCTAAGTGCGGGAGAGAACCCGTTCTGTCCGGAAGCGGGGCGTGCGCACCAAAGATGGAGGATGCAAATTCTCCTAGCACTTCCAACTCCTCCGCTACACCCATCAGCCTGCCATCCCGATTCTTAAGCTGAGCTCGCTGCTGAGGCTGCCACGGCCTGAGCTGCTTCAGCGTGGAGTAGGCAACGTGCGAAGACCCTTCCGCTATGGCCTCATCGACTCCCTCTAAGAATTTAGCGGCCCTTTCCTTCTGCCGCTGTCGCACCTGCTGCCTGTGTTGTTCCTGAGAGGCCTCTAGTTCCGCCAGCCTAGCTGGGTCAGGGTTTGGGGAGGACTTAACTTCTCGGGCAAGTTGCCACATGCGCCTGGAATCCAAGGGGCGCTGGCTGCTGCGGACCCTCCTCGGGAAAAAAAGCTCAGCCGCTGCAGTGAGAATCTGGTTGCACTGGTCTGGATGCTGAACGGGCATTCGAGCGCGGACCCAGTCCCGCATCTGTTTGGCCCGGTCTGAACCTTCACGAACCTCAGCTTGTAGCTGTTTGACATCGCATGTCGACACGTCCTTTCTCAGAGGAAGTTGCCAATGACCTAGGGGCTTTACGGCTGCAAAAACAGGAGAGTGGCCGCCGACTTTCCAGCTGCCTAAGTGCCAGTCGTGAAGTGGCGCAGATCTCTTGGCCTGTCCTCCCGCCTGAGGCTCCTTAGTGAAGACGAAGTCAATCTGGGAATGGGAGCCCTGCTGCGTGTGCGTGTGTGGTATGGCCGCATGCCACGTGTTCAGGGCTACCAGCTTGTGCGTCTCTACTAGCTCTTGCAGGCTCTCACTGTCCGGTCTGGGGGCCGCGCCGCACGTACGCGGGCCTACTAGCCGAGGAGAGGGGGAAAGGGTGGCACCAGCCACTACCAGCGAAGTACGAGAAGGGACCTGCCGTACTGCCTTATTCAGAGATGCTAAGAAGGAGCTGCGGTCCTTGCGGTTCTGCTGCGGCGTCTTGGCTGAGGACCAAACATGCTGATAGGCGTTGAGTGCCACGAAAGGACAGCCCGCATGCACAAATCTGACCTCAAGCAACCTTCCTACCCTGTGCTCGCGCCAACGAATCTGTCCTGAGTCGATGCGAGGGGACAGAAGGACCACGACCCCGTCTGCCTTGGAGGGAGCCGCCGTGGCCTCGCCTTGCTGCGCAGTCGCAGGGGCTGGTGGCTGCAGTTTTTTACCCCGAGGCTTGGCTTTAGGTTCTGGTGTAGGGGGCTTCGAGGAGGCGGAAGAAATGCAGGTCCAACCGCTAACCTGGAATTGCGTCGTTGAGGACCAATGTGTTTCTTGGAGCAGGAGGACATCACACACTGATTGCGCCTCGGCCTGAAGCCAGTCCTTGATTTCCGACCATTGCTGAGCCCCCAGATGACCTGGATTCCAGGAAAGTACTCGAAGAGGCCGAAATTGCCTGCCTCCCCTTGATTCCGACCTGGCACTTGGATGGGGGCTAGTGACCGCCGCTGGCGGGCAGTGCCCCTGGCTAGCTATCTGTCTCAGTGTGAGGGGCCTTCCCCGGTAAACGGCGCTACCTTCATCCCTTTGGGCTTGACGACAGGCCTTCCTATACGAACGCTTGCGAACTTGAGAATAATTAGCGGAGTGAATCGGCAAGAGTGCCATGCGCTGTTTCGCGACCCAGGCTCAAAGCCTATAGGCCACTCCCTTCGCCGCGCGCTA